AGACCAGGTTTCACTGGTTAGTATCTAGTCACTTCCGTATATAAAGCAATGTACATGGACTAGTACGATATGGAAACTCTTGAGGGCAATTTTTTTGTCCGTCACCTGCTTAATTAAGGCTTCTTTCACTGATGCATACGGTGCCCAGAAAAATTACCCCCAAATGACTCAACCAGACACTCAAGACGGAATCAATCAAGGTTTCAAGCAGAAAAAAAAAAATCAACTGTAAATTGAGATAAAAACCAATGGGTAATTTCATTTTAATCTGATTAGAAGTACATGTACATACATGTAGGCATGCGCGCCCACAGGTACAAACTGCACTAAGCCGGCAGAGAGTGCATGCACATGGGACCATTATAACAAATGTGCAGTGTGCAGTGTACAATGTACATGTACAACACATGTAATTTGCACTTACAAAGAAGGAGTACATGTACATGTACATCACAGGAGGTAAATGTACGATGTACATGTACATTGTTTGAATGCACTTTGGTACAGGTAACAATATCCCTTTACTTGATTATAGCCGACAACGACAGGTAACAAATGTATTAAATGTATGTTTCCTGTGACTGCACACTGGCTTGTCAGGCCTGCCACCTTCCTGTTGGCTTTTTCCCTGCAAGTATTCTACATGTAGAGTGCTTTCTTGTGATGTTTGACAGTTCTTTCAGTGTGCCAGCTGTCAATCACCACTGTCACCAAGCAAAGCTACTTCATTCCAAGCGACTGGCAAGAAGAAGTTGGATTTATTACTGCACTGAATTAAAAAGATGTCGGCCAAAGCGTGCACTCACCTCAGTTACTCTGGCCACTGTTTCAAATTTGCCAGCCTAGATAGAACCCGGTCTTTGCAGCACTTAAGTACCAACAATGCATTGCTATTCAGGGTTCAGCACAATTCTGGAAAACGGGTGGATGTTTCGTGTTGTTTCGCAAGAAGGAAACTTATTTTTGAGGACTGGATTTCGATGAGAAATATATTTGACATAAATTTGAAAACCTTCAGCAAATTGGCTAAGGGATTACTGGAGGGAAAATACTTTTCACACAATGAATAGAAGGAGTGATTTTGGCCTGTGGGGATTTTCTGTTTTGTTTTATTTTGTTTCAGGGGCGTGTTTTAGGTTTTTTGGGGGGGTGTTCTATTTTTTTTCTTATTTTTGGTTCGCTTTTACATTGGGCAGCGGGCAAGCATTTCTGGCAGACGGACCTGAAATCTGACCTAAATACTCCAGTCAGAATTGAGATACGATCCAAAGAGTTTACTCACTTGAGGGATGTGGCGTACTCAGACTCAATTCGTTGTCGCTCCTTGACAAAGTGGCAATATTTATCGAGATGCTCAATGCCCTTTTCTGTGTGCTTCTCCAGTTGACTGTACTGGTCCTGTACAAGTGTAATCAAATAAAAAAAGGGGAAACAATGCCAGAAACAGTGATTACAAATATGACTTCAAGGAAGTGAACCAGACCCCTACATGCAGAGTTACATCGAATGTCATCTATTAGTCATGACTAGTTTCCATGTGGTTGTCACAATCGCCAACAGCATGAAAGATGTCGAGGCACACACAGTCACTGGTGGAAGAAACGCTTTGTGACATCATTCGACAAGAAAATTTAAACCAAATGGCATCCAAACTCTGACACTCTTTGTGTGGACATTCTATTATTACCAGTAGGCGGTTACAAGTATTCCACTGTTCTACACTAAAACTTGCACTACTGTTTGAAGTTTCTCACTTATGGTCAGCTATTTTATTGACAACTGGAAATTCATTTCTCAGTCATAAACACGGCCAAATGCGTGACAAAGATACCAGTTTTCCAGATGCACGATGTGAGGTACTTATACACATGCATGTGCATGTAGATATGCCGGCACCTTCTATGCATTTAACTTCTGCAATGCACCATACAAACACAACACTACTTTCAACAGACAGTCCAAGAATTACGGATAAAAAATTGATGGAATCAGAACAGGTGAAAGTTAGAGAAACAATGTTATCTGAAGTGTAAACAATGACAGCCAAATCCGTTTTAATTTCTGATTTGGTCAAGTCAAGAACTAGTGACCCCAATTCACAATTTCTAGAAGGCACTGAATACCTGAACAGGTATTTATTGATGTAGTGAGCACAAATACATGTATCCTTATTACCATGTTCGCAAACTGTATACATACATCAATACATGTATGCATACAGTTGGCCCTCTTTCCCCAAAGCCTGTGCGCAGGATAACCTGTGTGCAGGATTTCCTGCTAGAGATTTGAGGAAGGAAATACAGTGTACTGAGATACATGTACCAACAGGGAGAGACAGTCTCATTTCTGGTCAGATCTTGCCAAGACAATTAAAAATGATAATTAAAGTGGCAATGAAAATGACTACCGGCATGTGATTTGTGCATGTGGGCTAAAGGTATCTCCTACAGTACATGTTCATGTACCGGTACATGCTCAGTCACATGACTATGCACATGACAAGAACAGCACATTCTACCCTACATGTACATGCACCTGTACATGTGTGTACATGTACATATGTACACTGTACAGTAGGCATAAAGTTGGCATCAAGTACATGTAGACACGTGCATGTACTGATGTAAATGACTGATCTACCGTACAATGTAAGAGTACATGTACATCAGAGATGTCATGTACTGTACATGTACATGTGTACACGTACTCACCAAGTCACGCTTTTTTTTACGACACGTTTGCTAGGCAGTGTTTTCTGCTCAGAGAGTCTAATGCCTTCTGGACTCACATTTGTTCTTTTTTAAACACTTTTCCTTTTCTTTTTCTCAAATATTCTACCCCGACAGATTTGTTTGAACTCCACCACCACAACCCACGGGCAATTTATTCTGAACGCTCATTTTCGCCGGGCACACACCGCTCAATGCAGCTTTCTGCCGACAATGGCTCCGGTCATATCATCCTTCAGTAATGCAAGATGACTAATGCAGCATCGCACAAGTGGCCAATAAAAAGACACAGTACATGAACAATGTGGCCAATAAAAAGACACAGTA